CTACAACACTTTTGAAAACTACGTCTCTCGAGAACGTTACAAAAATATCAAAATATCTGGATTAATATGACATCCTACCTAGCTTAGATAAGAACTTTTTTGTTTTACTTAAGCATGTATATAGATTTTATGAAGATTTTAAATATACAATTGAATTTCTCTTTTTTTTTTTGTTTTGGCAAATCGGGCTGGTGTGTTCCTGGACTTTGTATAAAACTGTTATGATATAAATTCCATAGGTTATGGGCCCAGTCACAATTTGCAGCTAAGTGCTATATGCGAGTATGAGAGCAGACTAGCAACAAAAATTCTGAGAAGCGCATAACAATCAAACAAAAAAAAACCAAAAACAGTTATTCTCGGAAGATGGAAAAATTAAAGAGAAACAGAACACCTTTTAACGGGGAAAAGTATTCTATATGGAAATTTAGAGTCAGGGCTTTGTTAGAGGAAAACGAGATGTTAAAAACAATTGATGAGGAACCAAGTGATAAGGAAAGTGATAAAGTGAAGCGAGCAGAAAGACATGCAAAGAGTCTTGTAATTGAATATTTGAGTGACTCTTTTTTAGTGTTTGCCAACAATGGGAACTTGGCTAAGGAAATTTTTGAAAATTTGGACACTATTTACGAGCGCAAAAGCCTGGCATCTCAACTTTAATTACGCAAACAACTACATATTGTCTTTAAAATTGAAGGGTGATACTACTCCGCTAGTAAACCACTTTTGTTTATTTGATTATTGGGTTACTGAGTTAGTTGCGGCGGGAGCCAAGTTAGATGAAATGGACAAAGTGTCTCATGTGCTTCTAACACTTCCAACTAGCAATGATGGAATAATAACAGCGATAGAAACTCTCTCTGAGAGCAATTTAATATTAGGCTTTGTAAAGACTCGGCTTCTCGATCATGTAATTAAACTAAAAGGAGTTGGCAAGGACACAAGTGCAAAAGTGTTTCAGGATATAGGCAATCAAGAGCCTAGGGATAGCACATACAAAAAAATAACAAAATTTGTGAAGAAACACTTTCAGAATAAGTCAAAGCCTAAGCTGAAGTGTTTTCATTGCGGCAAACTAGGCCATATGAAGAAAGGCTGTTTCTTCTTAAAAAGACAGGCAGATGGCAACCAGAATGTTCATGTCCAGAGTAATGTTATAGAGCACTGTCGGCCAAAATGAATTTTTCCTATGCCCGGGGCATAGGCTAGCTGCTGCGACGTCAAACACGTATACTCACACGTATACTCTTCTGTCAGCTTCAGAAAAAACGAAAGAGCCAGTAAACTGCTCGTATATCTACGAATAGCTTGGTTCGGCAGCAGCGTGTGGCGAAGCTAATTATTTCAGTTGCGTTTC